GACCACGTACGACCTCACAGCCAAGACCATCACCCCGATGGGTGGCTTTGTTGGTTACGGTACGTGCGCAACGACTACGTGATGCTGAAGGGTTCCGTCGCGGGTCCTCGCCGTCGCGTCATCACGCTGCGTCGCTCAATGGCCCCACAGACCTCGCGCAAGCTTACGGAGAAGATCACACTGAAGTTTATTGACACAAGCTCCAAGATTGGTCACGGTCGCTTCCAGACAAAGAAGGAGAAGAGCCAGTGGTACGGCCCATGCAAGAAGGACCGCATTCGTCGTGAGGAGCGTGTCCGCAAGGAGCGTGCGGCCCGCGCCGCGGAGCGCAAGGCTAAGGGCGGTGCTGCCGCCGCTGCCGTCGCTCCAAAGAAGACCAAGAAGTAGGCACCTCGGCTCCGGTGTAACTGATTCTCACGCCATGAACCTGTGTACTGTGAAATGCCATTTACATGTCTTTTTATTAGAATTGTGCGGAAGATTTAAGTGTACAGATCATGTGAAACGGGCAAGATGTATGTGTATATCAGTTTTTTAAATTTTTTTGTTGGTTAATGGTTGCTGTCTTTTTTAAATTTTCATTTAAGAAATGCTTTTGCGTTTACAGATACATCGAATTTTTTTGGGTTTGACTGCTACAAATGCGAATTGAGGATTGTAGTGATTGCTAAGCAATGATGGAGGAACTAAGTGGTCTATTGTTGTATTTTTTGACAAATAGGTCTGTTTTTAATTGGAGTATTGGGCACGACGTGCTAATTACATTTATTTTTGTTGGTTGTTGTTCTTGCCTTGTTTTTGTGTTTGTGAATGGGGAAAATGGTGATGTATTTTTTGCTTTTGCTATTTGCAGATTTGGTTATTTGCGTTTTTTTTTTGACGTTTGTGAGTTGGTTACTCATGTTTAGTGTCAATATATTTTTTTCGTCATTGTTTTGTTTTAGGGGTTTAAAATGTCTTGCCTTTCAGCGAAAGATGAAGGGGATGCATTTGATGTTACATTTAGTTTTTCGGCCGGGGGTTGGTTTCAAATGTATCACTGTGGTGTCTGTCAGGCGATTGTTGACTGTGGAATTATTGGGAAATTTGCTGCGGAGGGCAAGCGTATTCGCTTTGCTGGATGCAGCGCAGGCGCACTTGCTGCTGCATGTATGGCCTCAAAGTGCTATCGGTTCAAGGAAATCCGTGAGTTTCTAATACAGTGTGCGGAACACTATCGCGGCTCATGGTTGAACCTGTTTTGTATGAAGCAGTACCTTGAAGAATCCTTAGATAAGTTTGGTGCTCACTTGAGGGATTTGGAGAGGAAACCACGGACGCACGAAATGCTTAATGATGGATCTCTAGAGATATTTGTCACGACGCTTCCAAATATGAAACAAAAAGTGCTGACGGAGTTCCATTCGTATGAGGACGTTGTGGAAGCCTTAAAGGCCTCATGTTGCATGGCGCCGCTGGTGGGAGCACCCTTTCGTTTGCGAGGAACCGGGGAATGGGTCTGTGATGGGGCAGTAGCGACCGTGATCCCCCATAAAGATAACCCCAAAACAATTACGGTGAGTCCTTTCTATTCCAGCACAGCGACGGTTCATCCCACCATTTTTGTGCCCATGTGGTGGGGACTACGCCCTCCCGGGAAAGTTGCTTTCCGGAACCTTTTTTCTCTGGGCTACAATGACATGATAGAAGGTCTGGTAATGAACGGCTACCTTACACCCGATGAGGGTGAGTCAATGCTGAAACCTGAAGTAAAGTTTCTACCTGGTGGCGGTGTGATTGTTTCTTGCGCTTCGCATTTGCTTGATTTTTTGGTCTTTCTATTTGTTCGTCCTGTTGTGGTTTGTTGCATTTACGCTGAGCTTGCTTTTATGAGCGGCGTGTACTTCCTAAAGGGGTTGGTATTCTTGGACAGCAGACCACTTGCTAGAATGTGCGACAACGTGAGAAACATGGTCTCAATTCGTACTTTGGGCAGACTTATCTTTGGCGAGGTGGTGCCGCACAATGGTGAACGCCTGGAAAAAAGTTCTCGGCTTTACCGTCTGTTTAATCCAATCATCTTGGGAGGAAAAAAGAACACGGAAAGAGCTGTCATGAGTCCTACAGGTGTTTCTAATGGTAAGAGGCCTTCGCTATCGCCCAATACATGCAAGAGGGCGAGGGCTGCTGCCAAACGGACATCGCAGGAAAGTTAGTCTCACCTGTGATCATAGCTTTGTTGTTCACGTGTCGTGTGTAACGGTCCGACTCGTCTCAATTCAGCCTACGCCGATGCATCTCTCTTGTTAGTTGATAGTTTCTCACGCGTGATAAGTTGCCACATATCAACAAGGGAAGTAAAATTGAGTGTGAATAAGATCTTATTTCCTTGTTTATTTTGCTTTTTTTTGTGTTTTGTGCAATATTACCTCCCTGCTTGGGTTGTTTCGTGTCTTCTGCGCGGCGCCTCTCGTGAGCACTGGGGGAAAGGAACCTCTGTCTTTTTGATATCTCTTTTTTTCCTTGAATTATAGCTGCCCATTGGCATTCGCCTTTGCCCTGTGTGGTGTCTAATGTTCCGCTACTCCCGTTACGCGTTGCAACAGGTCTTTGAAAGCCACACGACGTCGGTGGAGGACAAAAGTTTTAAGGCAAAAGCGAAGTCGGAATTTAAAAAATTGCTTAAGATTCAACTCATTTTGATCCCTATTGTTGTGGTGTGGGTCATGTTTGCCTTCCCGCCCCCGTCCGTGGAAGAAGAGAAGCGCCTACGGGCAGAGTATGAGAAGAACGCCGGCTGGAAGACTTAAAAAGAGCAGGTGGTTTCACATTCAGCCGTACGTGTGCTTGTGCGTAAGTGTGCCCGTGTGTACGCAGCGTAAGGAAATGAAACACAATGTACACATTCATATATAATTATTTGTATATATGATTCTGTTGTTTGCGTTGTTATTTGTCGTTGCAGTTGTGTAGTCATCTTGTAACCATTTCTTGTGTCCCTTATTTTCTTCCACTGAAGAGGCTGCGACTGGACCGCATTTCATTGTGCGATCTTTTTTTTTTCTTCTCCCTTCATTTTGCAGTTGTTGTTTTTTTTTCTTCGAGAGGAAGAGCAGGGTAGGGGAGGGGGAGGGGGGGGAGTTGCCGTTCCAAGCTACGACGCTGTCTTTGCGAGGAAGATGATGCATGCCACGCGTCACTTCCACTTTATTACGAAGATCAGCAAGATTTCAAGACCCCCCGCCAGCGGCTATGAAATTGCTGAACTACCAAATGAAAAGGTTTTTATGGATTTTCTCAAGTATTACAGCACAAATTGTGTGCTGGCCGTTCTTCATTCTGGCTCGCTCCGCGGCACGGCGGGAGGAGGAGGAACTGGCACGAAGATCGTTGAGGATCCTCTCACACGCAGCTTTATCTCGTCCATCAACGCAATGAACATGGGGAACCCCAGTGAAACGAAACTGGCGCTCGTGCCTGGGCCACATGCCCCTAAGATGGTAGAGGAGTACGGTGTGCTGACTTATCCGACGGTGCTCTTGTTCATGAACGGAAAGTGCGTGGATCGGGTTGTCGGGGCACGCACACGGGAGCTTTCTATCAAGTCCCTCTTCACACTGCGAAATGCGCAGAGAAACATCTTTTCAAGGGAGTGAATACTTTTCCACCCTTCAGTTCAGAGAAATTGTCTGAGAAACAGAAACACGTTTTTCAAGAGTGAGACATACACATACACGCACACATACAAAAAAAAAAAAAGAACTGTCAGAGTCTTTTATGTACACTTCAAAATGCGGTTATTGGCCTTTGTTTCTCTTTTTTTTTTTTTTGCTTTTTGAATGCATATGTTTTTCACCGGACTTCCAACTAGGTGCGGGTGTGGTTGGTATTCTTACTGCTGCGGCGAGTAGTAGCAGCGGTGGTAAATAATGGAGTTGCCAAATGCGCCTGAAGAAGAAGACGTTGAGTGGAGGTGGTATGATGCTCCCTGCCCACGCTTTGCATTGGGTCGATGCGCCGACACGTATATGCGTTTGCCCATTAAGGAAACATGTGACGATGCGGGATACGTTAGAGCAGGGATAGACACATCCGCCCCTCTCAGCAGTACCGTTGTGGTGCCACCACTGTCTCTGAGCGTCTTAGACGAGCTCGTGAGCGAAGAATACAACAAGGCGCCTGTGCTCAAAAACGTGGATGAGACAAAGGGGAACGAGGAAACTACGAGTCAAACAAGTGTTGGTGATAACGTTCTTTCCACTTTGAGGCTTATGAGTGGGGCCTGCAAAACGACGGAGGAACTACGTTTGGAAATGAAGCAGTTAGAGTCTCTAATGGGAGAAAGGCAGCTGAGCCCCTCTCTCTCTTTGGAAGAAATCGATGATGCCAATGACCCTGCTTCAATGCCACTGGGCGTAAATGATAGTGACGACTTGTTGTCAGAGTGTCTTCTTGAAGCTGATAATGTTGTACTTTTTCGTACGGCGGGGGAGGAGAGTGTTGCTCCCAGGCCTACAGTTGTTGGTAGTAGTTTTGCTCTATTGATCAACCAAAACTCCGCACTGGCAATGGTGCGTTCAAAGGTGAGCCAATTGAAGCGTCGCTATCAAAAGGATGGGTTTGATCTTGACTTAACCTACATTACCGCGCGAGTGATCGCCATGTCTTTTCCTGCATGGGGGACGGAGAAGTATTATCGTAATCCCATTAATCAGGTAGAACGTTTTCTTGAGAGCAAACATGGAGGTCACTATCGTATTTACAACCTCTGCTCTGAGCGACCGGAGTACGACTCCCCGAAGCGTTTTCAAGGGAAGTACAAACGATTTCCATTTGATGATCATAATGCCCCGTGCCCTATAAGTCTTGTGCTCGATTTTCTCCGCGATACAACATTGTTTTTGGAGCAGAACACAAAAAATGTTGTGGTGGTCCATTGCAAGGCAGGGAAAGGCCGAACAGGAGTAATGGTGTCGTGTCTATTACGTTTGCTTGATCCTATTAACATTCCTGATGCGGAGGAGGCGTTGCGTGCCTTCGATAAAGCACGCACATATGACGGTCTTGGTGTAACAGTTCCCTCACAACGTCGGTATGTGCACTACTATGACCGCATAGTGCAGGAGTTTGGGGGAAATCTCCCACCGTCTCGTCGACGAAAACTATACCAGATCACCATCGATTCCGACATTAAATTGTCTGGTCCGGTGGACGTGTATTTAACTGTGGAAGAAGACGGTGCTTTGAAAATTGACTCCCGTCAAGTGTTTCCTGGAAGGCCCAAAAAGGATCCAAAAGGGTTTCTTTTTTTCTTTGAGGAGGAGCCGGCCCTCCAGGGGGATCTACGGTTTACTTTTTATCAACGTCATAGATTGGTCGATAAGGAGCTTTTTCATTTTTGGCTAAACACCTCTCTTTGTAGTAGTTACGAGCGATTGTCGCTTAAAGATCGCCAACTGGACGGGCGGCCCTCCAAGGCAAAGACTGAAGAGCAGTTCTGCAGGGACCTGGCAGCAAATGTAATTTTTGTGGATTAACCGTGCGACCTTCCTGGCGACCAAAGTGATGGGGCATAAAGCGAAGAGGAGCGCTGACATCGGAAAGGAATGAGCGAATAATTTTTCCTTCTACATGTTGTCATTATTATTATTTACGTTTATATTTATATATATATATATATGTATTTGCGTGTGATTTGAATGTTCTTCTCTGTGACCCCGCAGCCCCGGCTGAGGCAGACGACACACATACGCAAACGAAGAAAAAAAAAAGGATTCGTTTAGAAAAGAAACGAAGGCAAAACCAAGCGCTACTGGTAGTAAATAAACACGGAAAGGAGAACTTTCACTCGAGACTCGAAGGTTTTTTTTGGGGTATTTCAGGATATTGATAAATTCAGTCTGTGTTATGTGCTGTTATAACGATAAGGTGCTACCTACGGTGAATGTTTTTTTTTCTCTCTCCTCTCGCTGAAGCATTGTGTCTCCGTGTTGTTTGTGTTTCTAGTGTCTTTTAATCGGTGCCTATCCAATAATACCAGGGGTACCATTGATGCGAAAAAGGTCGCCGAGGATGGCCCATGACGGTTGCATTGTTATTTGTTTTCTTTTACGTATATGCATGCAAACATTTATATATTGTGTTGATTGCTTCTGTTACTTTTCTGATATATATTTTGTTTTCCTTTTTGGGTTTGTCCCTGTCATTCACAAATCTGTCAAGGTGGCACTGCGGATATGTCAAAGGCCGTGCCGCTTCCAGGCATCACATTTGCCGGCACTTCGTATGCGCGGAACGAAAGGGTGTTTGAGACTTTGCCGAGGAATGACGCCAGGCGGCTCCGACATCGAGAGGTAATCCAGTTTAGGAGCGCGACTCACCCACCGGAGAAGCCACGTTGGAACATGTCCGTGTTGGATGAGGCCCATCCGTTTCCTGAGCGTCCTATAATGCACTCCTTGCAGAGGTTTGAGGGTGTAGATGTGTCTTCCAGGGTGTTTCCACAGACAGTTCGAGGCACAAAACATCTTGAAACAAAATTTCGTTCGCCGCTCTGGATGAGTCGGGAGGGAAACAGATCTTCTTCTAATGGTGACCGTCCGCAACGACAGCGGGTAGGTTTTCTCTCCCGCGTTATTGAGTCTGACTTCTCTGAAAGCAAAAAGAAGGCGCGGGAAGGATGGGTTGCATCCACGATGCGTTGGAGTTTTGCGGGACAGATCGGTGAAGCAGAGGAGGCTCGAAGGAGCTACGTAGAAGTGAACAAGAAGAAAAAGGGTGTATTGAACATGGACACTTACCTCAGCCCTGTCTTTCGAGTGAGAGAAATGAATGAGCGTATTCGAGAAGCGAAACGAAGTGAACGAATGCGGAAGGAGCAGGCTTCATTACCTCCGGTGGGTGCTAATGGTGCCCCGGCAGTTTTTAAAATGAGCAACATCGACGAGTGGTGGCATTTGGACCCCACGCTCACAGTAGCAGGCACAACGGCGGCGCCTGCTGTGAATGTATAGAAGGAAACACAACGCCGGGGACTGAATTGTGCATTTTTATTTTTTTGGCTTTGTGTTATCTACTTTTTTTATGTTTCCATTGACAGAAGGGGGCGAACGCGTCACCGGCCATTCGCTCACCTGCCCAAGGAAGATATGTTTATCTAACAATGCTCCTGTTTCCTTCCAGCTATTGTGCCACTCTTTGCTTCTGCTTCCATGCATGTGTGCGGACTTGCACACACAACCTGTGTGTGTGTGTTTTGTTGGAACTGAGGCGGGGGCCAAAACGATAAAACAAGGACAAAATACAGCGAGAAAGAAGAGCTAGAAAACAAAAAAAACACGCGAGAGACAAAGCAGGTTTTGCGTGTTTGTTGGTTGAGGAAATAGTCTGAGAACTGGAGGAAGTAAGGAGAGAAAAGGTGCAAGGTACATGCCAATGACGGATTTCCTGATGGACCCGACGGAGTTCCAGAGGGTCATTGATGTCATCATGAAGGAAAGGTATGCCCATGAGCAGTGCGTCGCAGACAAGGACTTGAGCCGACATCGCCAGAGAATGGAACGTAGTCGCTCGACATCACAGACGTCAGAAAAGCGCATGTCTTTAAGCAATGCTAGCCTTGGCAGCCGTGCTGCAAATTTGGGAAACTGTGGCGTAAAGTTGGGCGGTCGGCCACCGTGCATCCTGGCAGGCGGAAGAGCTCCCGACGCTGCTGTGGAGGCCACCCCACGAAGCGGATCCAACAATAGCCGTGGCTTGTCCGACGCTCCTTTCCAGTACGGCAGTCTCATCCGTGACTCCGACAAGGAAAATATGAAGGCCCTTACGGAGTGTGTACCGGAGTCCGCTGAAGCCCGACTGTTGTCTAAAGATTGTCTCCCGAACACGGAATCAGCTCCAGAAAAAATAAACGTGTTTTCTAAGGAGGGGGAGGAGGAGCAGCAGGAAGGAAAGGTGGATCCGGAGCCCCTCGTTGAGCTGTCTCAGAAACGGCGCAACATCATTCAAAGTCCTTCACCTGATAACGATAATTCCCTTCCAGTAACAACGGGTGTTGAAATGCAAGAACCACAATCACTGCATTTTTTTTCTCCTTTATTGACAGAAAATTCGCGATATGCAATGCTTGAAGGCAAATTGCAAGACATGCAAAGCACTGTTGACAGACTCACACGTGATGTTATGCTTCTTGCGGTCAATCAAACAAGCAGCGTAAGTATGGTTCAAGAAGAGGATTCCGCAGCGAAACGTCTTGAAAGTTTGAAGGAGTGTGGCAGTTTTACAGAGGAAAATTTTCTTACTGTTGTTATTGCGCTAGCCAAACGGGTCCGCCGTTTGGAGGTGGATTTGGAAGCATCCATGGAACAAGTACGAGTGTTGGAGGCCGCCGCCATTGAGCGGGATATGCAGTTAAACCGTACCAAAGTTGGACGTGATGAAATGGACACTCTTGTTAAGGCGTTGTCCAACACGTGCGTGGATTATCCAAATGAACTCAAAAATTTGTATCGAATGTGGGGATTGGACCCAAAGGATGTGCAACAATCCCTTGAAGCATCGAATTCGACTTCTTGTACAGATCTTCTTTTGTGTACACCACCGTTTACTCGTGTTTTATATCTACTAGTGGAGCGTAACGCTGAGATACTGAGCACGCTTAATGATCAACAGGCCGGAAGGCTTGAAGCAGAAAGCCATGCCCATTATGAGTCTACCTTGTTTCATAATCATCGCGATAGTGACTTTTTAAAGGCAGTACAAAAACATCCCGTCCCTCTTCATGAACAGTTGTTGGGGATATACTTGACGGATGAAGAGGGCTTGGACGGGGTGCGGGTGATATCTGTCTCTGCGGCATCCCCGGCAGCGCAGGCTTTGAAGTATGGGGACGTGATTGCTCAGATCAATTATGTCACAGTACATTCTGTGGCCGATGTGTCGTATGTACTTTCTCGCGCACGACCTACCGCTCCCGTTGCGTTGTCAATTGTGATGCAAAAAAAGCCTTATGCGAGGACGGTTGAGGTGCTGCCTCTGGAACTTTTTTGAATTAGGAGTTTGAGTGGACGAAAAAACTCCTTTGTTTTTTACATATCGCAGTCACTGCAGATGCAAGCTTTTTCCGGTTGTGCCCCCGGCATTTGCACATGAAGACTAAGTGTCTGAGAAGGTGTGGCACTAACACGTTTTTTATGTTTATTTTTATTATGCATTTTGTCTGTATACGGGGAATACACCTTTTTGTATATTTGATTCTATCGTCATTATCAAGCACATGTTTTGTTGAGTTTTGCTTTGCTTTTCTGGGACATGCGAGTGTTCTTGTTTCACCCATGGTATCCTTCATTCTCAGTTGTTGGGTTCTGCTTCTCGGCCTGCAGCGGGGCGTGTGGCATCGCCACACGCATTCATCTTCATCTCCGTCACTAACAGGGGAGTCTATTTACCTCTCACTAGTGCTGGCTGATCCCATTTTATTTTATTTTTACAATTTTTGCCGTCAGATATCAACACGTTGGAAGTAAAAAGGGGATACAGGGAGAGTGTGGGGTGTGCTGGCAATCTAGGCAAGAATAAAAAAAAAAGAGGGGGACAGCGGACAAACAGCTTGGAAAATTTCAATGACGGTTCTTTCTGCCTTTAAGGCGAAGTCCACACGCTTTAAGGCTGTAGTGGAGCGAGTGAGGCGTCTTTTGCATACAGGCGCATCCGGAGCTAATGGCATTCGCGCACTTAGTCGCAGCCTTGGCATAGCAGTAGATGCTGGTGGGAATCTTGTGGATAAAGCCACCTTCGTAGAATGCCTAAAGCAGAATGGAGTCGCTCTAGACGAAAATGATGTGGAGGCGGTAATGTCTGTATTAGATAGGAACGGCGATGGTACACTTGACCCAGTAGATTTTATTGCTGCTTTGCGCAGGGATCTCACTCCAGTGAAGTCTGCATGGGTCGCACGGGTGTGGTACACATTCCGGCAGAACGCCGATGGTACTATTTGCATTGAGGATCTCGTGAATGCGTTTAATGCTGCAGGACATCCTGCGGTTGTGCGTGGTGAGCGCAGCGAAGAAAAGGTGCGTGAGGAATTTCAATTGACTTTCAACACCACCACGAATCCTGAAGGTGTCTTATCGCGGCAGGAGTTTGAGCAGTACTACTCGTGTGTGGCCGGGTCGTGCCTTGACGACGCCTCATTTCTGACACTTGTGCGAGGTGTGTGGCCTGCGCTTGCAGATGATGCAGCTAGAAACATTGAATTGATCTCTAATAAGGAAAATCAATGTAACTCCACCTTTATAGCCTCGCAATCAGCACTTCAGAAGAGTACCGTCAACAAGCTGAGGCAAAATGCCGCGGACCTTGACACGCTTATTCGTACTTTACACCGTCCTGCTGTTATGGATTTACCGCTTGCTGTTCGACTCCTTTCGCTTTCTTTGCGCGGAAGGGATGTGGAGGGGACATTTTTCCTTACGCGCGGCGCCTTCACAGAGGCACTGTGGCAGCAACGGCTTTATATTTCAAGACCTGATGAACTTTTGCCAGTGTTGGATACAAAAGGGGACGGCTCTGTTGATTATCTGCTTTACCTGACGATGCTTCTCCCGTCACTTCCTCCAGCCCGTAGAATGATGCTTGAACGGCTGTGGGAATTGTTTCTAAAGGACACATGCGGTGCTGTTGATGTCTTGGAGTTGCACCGGCAATTCCAAGCAAAGGATGGTGAGGAGAAGAATGCGTTTCTGAGTGCATGGGACGTTCGCCGCGCCATTCGACGGCGCCTCACACTGGAGGAACTTGTTGAGTGGTACGTTCCCATGAGCTATAAAATCCAGCTGGATAATGATTTCGGAGCAATGCTGAAGCGACAGTGGAACTTGATGTAGCTGTGGTGGACGCGGAGAAGTAGACATGCAATACTACACATATATATGTACACTGATGTATGATAGGAGAAGATGGGTAAGTTTTTTTTTTTTTTGCGTATTTCCTTTTTAGATGTAAGGTGTCAACAGGTTTTTTTTTGTTTTTTTTTTGCAGCTCCTTGCTTGTTTGTTTTAAATGAATTTTATTGTCAACCACATTGATTTTAGTTGTTGTTACGTGTTTATTTTTCTTCATACGTCTCTGTTTGTTTGGGGCTTATCATGCGAACACTGGACGCAGGTTACCATACCTTACTCTCGCCTAAACACATACGACGACGTCCATGGTGTTGGAGTTGCTCCCAGTTGATGGCGAGGCCAGTCGCACTCGTCAGAGTGAATACGTGGATATGTCCCTCATTCATCTCGGCATTAAATTGCGTGATATGGGAATTGAATTTGAGGAAACAGAGCTTGCGACGGTGCCTACACGTTTTGCAGAACGGTTGTTGAGCTACCTACATGCATTCGAGGAGCGGGAGTCTGCAATTCGAGACTCGATGACAGAACACCAGACCCAACTGAAGCAGGAGAACAACCGCCTGGAAACGCTGCAGGAGGCCACAGAAAAAATGAGAGGTGAAGTGGCGATATTATCCGGGAAAATTAGCTCGGCACTAGGCGCATACCGTAGCGAGGAAAAACTAGAGGCGCAGCGGCGGCGGGAGCGACAGCGAGACGTGTGCGATATTATGCGTCAAAATGACAAGAAGGAGCTCGAGCTAAGGCGAGAGACTATGGAACGTGACCGGCTAAGTAAAATACTACAGAAGGTCCAAAAGTAGCAACGTCAGTGTGGTTTGGCGGTAGTCACTCCAGAAGTTTGCCTGCGTTTATGGGGATAGAACTGCCCTTTTGTTTTACTCGGTGGAGAAAGAGGTAGATCCCAGCTCTTTCTTTTCCTTATTTTATTTGTTGTGTGCGTGCGTGCGTTTACGGCTCTTTACGGACCACATGAAAGGAGGTGCGCACGCCCACATTATCACACAGTCATTTTTAGATGTTCAAGAAGCAAGTAGAAAGTGAAAAGGATTTGAATGTGGGAACTCTCAGTCGGTGGACGTGTACCATTCGTAAAAAGATGCATCCCGCGTGCGTCCCATTTCACAACAAAAACAAAAACTAAACAAACTGTTGGGGCATCGTTTTTTTTTTTTATTTTGTGTCTCCTTGCATTTAAAGGATTGCAGAGGGAAAGATTTGGAGAGGTGCAGTGAGGACGTGGGAAAGCAACCGGAAACGAGGAGGGTAAAGATAGAGAGCTTTAGTTGATACAAAGAAATAAAACAAGGACACAAATGGCGCTATCGAAGCAAGACCCGCGCCTCGCCTTTTATTGTGAGAGACACGACGATATATCACAACTTGTTCGGCGTTATATATTGTTTTTTTTCTACGAGGATCATTCTGTTGAGATGAGGGAGCTGCCCAAAAATGTGATACACCTTAGACGTACTCCATTCCCACACCTGCGGAAAGATTGCTTCCGACTTGGTACAGCTCTAACGATATTTGGTGGAATTGTAAAAATTACCGGCTACGCCGACGAAGTGACGCGGGTGTTGTGTGAAAAGGAAAGCGAGTCTACAGTGATGCTCTTAGGAGAGTCTTTATTGCCGCAGCTGGGTCATTACTTGGCGATGCTCACGGAGGAGTGTGGTTTCGCTATCTCATCAATGCAAATGGTGTGGCCACGTGGAGACATCTTCGAAACGTATGGTCTGCCTGAAGGACTCACAAATGGCCGCGTTGTTGTGGCATGTTGTGTACGTGCTGATGCTGTTCAAAAAGGTCTGGATTACATGAATCGTGCAACCGGAGCCTTTGCGGCGAGGGATGAGGAAGAGGCCAAGAAATGGGCTCAGTTAGTAGAAGAAGTGAGCCGAAAGCCAGTTGCCATTTTTGAAGATCCTCACTGTTCCGTTGTTATTGTTAAACCGCATGCTGTACGAAGCCGCAATGCTGGCAGCATCCTGCAGCTGCTGCTTGATGCAGGGCTTGAGCCGGCAGCATTAAGAACTGCAAACCTTTCTTCACGTGTGGTGGATATCTTCCTTCAGCCGTACAAGGATGTGCTTCCAGATTTTTCTGAATCGGCTAAAGGCCTGACTGGCCATGTTTGGGTCATTCAACTGGTCTCACCGGAAGACGAGGTTGACGTTGTTTCTCTAGTGCGCGAAGTTTGTGGCCCCTTTGATCCAATTATTGCAAAGGAGTTACGCCCCAAGTCTGTACGTGCAATATATGGTGCAGATCGTGCGAACAATGCGGTGCATTGTTGTGACCTACCTGAGGAAGGGGCAATTTACACGAATTTCTTTTTTGGTTCAAAATATATATAGAGGCAATAAACTCGTTGAATTCCGCTAAATATATATATATGTATAAGTAGTGTTCTTTTTCATTGCAATTGTTGGAGGTAAATGGCTTGAAATGAACAATAGTATCTCTATTTGATGTGTGGCGGTTCCCGCTCCCTTAAAGACGATGTGTAAATATGTATTACCAAGGACGCTCACCTTCAGGCCATTTTATTTCCCATTTTTTTTTCATTGTCGTCTCATGTGTGTTTCGCCTTTTCTCTTGTGTAACGTACGTACTGGCTCTGAAAAGGAGGGTGCATCCCGTGATAGTGTTCTGTAAGTGACGTGAGATGTACGTTCTCCTTCATAACCTCTCGTCACTTCCGCTATTTTTTTTTTAATTTGGTACCTTTATTTTTTACTTTGTCGCGCGTAAATTCCAACCTTATTCTAATGAATCTGTGCGGGGGTGCTGCCATGAGCTTTGTTTCTCCTTCTCCGTATTGGCTTCAGTAGGTAGTGAGAGGGAGAAATCATGAGTGTGCGAGAGACAATTGGTGAAAAGGATTTTTTGCTGCGCAGAACGCCGGCCAATCCAAAGTATGAGAAGGTCAAGGCGGTTGTGGAGTCGGGGCTGACAGTGGAGGTGGCGCAGTTCATGAAGCGAGCAGCGTGTAACGTTCGGCGTTATGCCGGGGAGTCTTTTTTGCGGATGCACCCCAATGTGTTGGCAGAGTACATTTCGAAACTCAAAAGGCAAGAAGAGAGGAAAAAAGGGTGTGAGAGCGACGGGGGATTTTTGCACCCGATGGATGAGTACATGTCACCAAATGTGAGGCCAGAGAAGGAGTATCTTATTCTCGACGTCCGCTCCGAGGAGGAATACAAAGCCTGTCATATTGAAGGTGCACTTCACTACCCAAAGCGAAGGATGTTACACGCCATAAACCCGCTTCTTCCGGAGATGTTTGAGTTCAAAAATAAAGAAAACAAGTACATTGTGGTATATGACACTGAAGAGGAATTGACGGTGGGGCAGAGCGTAGGGACAGTCCTTTTTGAAAAGGGCCTTGATAACGTGGTGGTGCTAACGGGCGGATTACGAGAGTTTGTACAGGATTATTCCTTCCTCATTGTGGGGAAGAGCCCTGTACCGATAGTTCCCCGGGACACACGGCTGCAAAAACGGGCCGAAGCGATATCAGCAGCAAGAAGTGAAACACAACGGAGTGCGTTTTCACATAAACCAAAGAGTTTGTCGAATAGTCTTGCCAAACCACGACGGTTGTGACGAGAAATGTCGACTGAGAGATATTCATTCAAGAGTGAGCGGATATCATTTAGATTACATGCGAACTTATGGGATACACCACGACGTGTTACCATTTTTTTTTTATTGTTTGTTTGCTTTGTGTGTGTGTGTGCGCGCGCGCTCGTATGCGAGTGTACGGGATATATGCATGTATGTATATTGCAGGTGTGAGCTGAGCAAGCAATCGTCTGTCTACGCATTCACTCTCTCCTTTAGAGTGCTTTGGTGTGCATTGTAATGAATTTGCTTGTGTTTTTGTTTGTCATCCATCCTTTTTTCGTTAATGTTGTTAGGCATTTGAGCATTCTTGCCGTGCCGGCGTACACTGAGCAGCGTGGGGGGGTATGCTTGGCGACTCGCGACAAGCATTGGCCGAGGTAAACGATTCCCGCAAGCGGCAGCCGCCACCACAACCGAATGTTTCAAATGGCACTACACTCAACGTAGTATTTACTGAGGAAGGACGGGTTAACGATGCTGATGTCATAAACACTTCTAATGATAAACTGAAAGCGGGAAGGTGGGAAAAGGCAAATGGAGCTTTCACACGACACAAGTCAACACCAAAAGCAGCGCAAACTCGGGTGACTATTGGCATGCGTTTAAAGAGGTGGATTATTACAGGTAGAATAGGCGCTGGTTCCTTTGGTGAAACCTTTACAGCGATAGAGGAACCTAGAGGCCGCCATGATGGTGACGAGGAGAACGAGATGGAGGACATTATTGCTCTTTCTCACAGCAGCTTAACGTCCCCAAATCTCGCGGAGGTGTGTATTAAGGTGGAACAGGATAATAAAAATGTTCTCCGTATCGAGGCGGCAGCCTTGAAAAAGATACAGCGTTGTCCTCAAGTAGTACGATACTTGGCAAGTGGGAATACAGGAGGTATGAACTTTTTAGTGATGGAGCGATTGGGGCCTAATCTTGCGGAATTGCGCCGTGGTACACCCTTTGGCACCTTTACTCACTTCACGACCCTCAAGCTGGGTATATCTTGTCTCCGAGCAATACGATGTGTTCATCAACTAGGACTCATCCACCGGGACATTAAGCCCTCAAACTTTGTCATTGGCTTGGGCGGAACTTCAGATCCACGAACCTGTTATCTTATAGACTTTGGATTGGCTCGTCGATATCGTCGTGCCAATGGGGATGTACGCCCACCGCGTGAAAATGCTGGTTTTCGTGGGACAAGTCGTTACGCTTCACTGGCTTCGCATCGTCAACAAGAGCTTGGTCGTGTAGATGATATATGGAGCCTGTTGTTTATGCTTGTCGAATTCGCCACAGGGACGTTGCCGTGGCGTAAGTATAAGGAGAAGGAAGAAATTGGTCGATGCAAAGAGGAGATGATTGGGTCTGGACTTGTCCAGAACATGCCTCGTGAATTTCGTCCATTTTTGGCACATATACGTGCGTTGCACTACGAGGATGAGCCAGCTTATGATTTTCTGCTTTCTCTCTTAGAACGTGCGATTGAACGCCGCGGCTACCCACCGGACAAAAATTTTGATTGGGAACACGAGGATGACACACTCCATCACATGCGCTTTCATGGTGACGGAGGCGTCACCAAGAGGCTTGTTAGAGAGCATAACGATGCAGCTGACAATAGTGCCGGCGGAATGGAAAATTCTATTCACAAGCCTATATCTTGCCGAAATGCTTCTCAAACGCCTCTGGATATAGCGTTCGTCCCTGTTCCTGAGGCGATCAATATAAATACAAATCGATGTACTTCGGCAGCCTGTTTGATGCCGCCATCACCGCGAACGGAAGAAGAGGCAGAGGAGCAGGGTCGCATAGGTGTCAGTGATGTGATTGTATCCGCCGTAATGTCTAGAAATGGAGATTTGAACGACGGTAATCACGCTCTGGAAGCTGTGGGGGCATTACAGTGGAACGTCTCCAGTGCCACGCCTAACGTTCGAGCTGACACCAGTGCTTTGGAAGATAAGATGGAGCGAGTTGGTATTGAACGCCAAAGACGAGGTTATGGGGTAGAACATCATGAGGCTGTCGAGAAGTTGGAGGTGGTCAACCTTGAAGGGAGTTTTTCTCCGCGCGAGAGGGTGTCTTCTATGGGAAACAGTGAGCAAGTAGCTAATGATGCTCCTCTTAGGACCTTGCCATTGAATAAAGGAGAAGAAGATAATATATCAGGGTTAACTTCCCCACGGCAACAACAACAAGAAGAACATAATGCGCATGAAATAGCGAGTGTGAAGAGGGTATCCTTTGCTACAGATGCAAACCTAGTTGAAGACACTGCAGTCACTTCTAGACGTGGAGCAGATGAACCAAAGGAAAAGAAGAAGCGTGCAAATTGTGAGTGCAGTGTTGTGTGAGACGGTTTTTTTTTGTACTTGTTGAGGTTGACAAGGAGTGTAGTAGAGCAGGCATTGTGTCTTTTTCAAAAGAGAAAGGAAGAGTGGGTGGGAAACAGGGGTCGTCTTAGAGTTTGCTGTGCAATTTGTAAAAGAGCAGTGAGGAGGAGGGGGAAAAAAATGAATAAATAAAATGAATATAAAGTTGTGCTGGTGTTCATTTATTTATTTATTTTTTGCATCCTCCACCCCTCCCCTTTTTTTAAAAAAAAAAAAGTTTTTCTTCCTCTATCCCTTTCTCATGTGTCGTGTACTATCGTGCATGACGGATATGCTTTGTCGAAGTATATGTTCTGTTTTTTAAATTATTTTCCCCACTTTCCTTGGATGTACGCCATTTCCACATGGACGCTGAGTAGTGCGTCTGAAATCACGGGCCTACCAACGACGGTGCATACCATTACTGTTGTTGTTTGTATTATACTTTGTGTTCTACAAGGCTATAGTGAGTGTCTTTGTGTGTGTGTGTGTTTGCTGGTGCTCTTTTATTGCCTTTCGGAGCGTTTTTTCATGGTTGTCACTAACGTGTGACCCCCCTTGTAGTTGTAGTTGTAGTTGTAGTTTTGTTTTTTTCTTGTCCTTTCTTACTCACTCTCGTTATCTCTATCTTTTTTTTTTCATTTGTTTTCTGTTCCACTGATTATATATATATATATATATATATATATATATATATATATAT